ACAAAAAAGAAAAAACAAAAGTATAAGTTAAGTATAAGTACCAGTTTAGCTCCGCCCGCTACCGCGCGCATGACACGGAAGCCTCTGACAAAACTGACAATCGGTGAAGCTTTGGGTTTCACCGCTTAACTATTCGTATAACTTATAGCAAATTCAAGAAAAACAGATAATAAATGCATTACTGTCCGTTGCCCATCTTGGCTGTATCTCACTGTTTGATAAGCGCAGTGAAGTGCACAGCTAAAGTGATGTATGTAAACAACCACCATGCATCGAGAATCGAGGAAATTTAGCGGTCGAATAATTTTTGGTAATCTCAAGACGGAATGCCCAGTATTCACTATCAAATTTATTAGAGCATCCCATTCATCCTCAAGAACTCTAGAAGGTGTAGCGGTTGAAAGGTGTTTGAATTTACAATTATAACGCTAATGAAATGATATTGAAATGAAATGCATTATCTGCAATCTGGTTTCGAGTAATCTCTACGTTCGTACGCATATCGTAATTATCAGTCCTCATCTGTCGTTATCACTTTTTGACCCCCACAAAATATGTTACCGTCCACCCCCATATCATGTCCCAAAATCAGCTCCTGACGACTGCTGCGAAGCGCACTATGAATTTGTGAAATTGTGTTTCAGCGCCTCTTATCTGCTCATATCAGTCGTTATCACTTTGTGACCCCCAAAATATGTTCCCGTCCACCCCCTATATCATATCTTGAAACCAACTCCTGACGACCACTGGTGCCCGAGCTATGAATTTCGCGACACTTGCGTTCTAGCGCCTTTTATCAGCCCTTATCAGTTGTGATCACTTTCTTTACCCCACCAAATATGTTCCCGTCCCACCCCCTATATCATATCTTGAAACCAACTCCTGACGACCACTGGTGCCCGAGCTATGAATTTCCGGTCAGACAGACAAACACATACACACACACAGACACACACACAACCGCTTAGCCGATTATATATAGTAGGATACTTCCGATAAAGCTCTTAATATGAAAAGCAGAGAATATGACCACCAAAATTCGTGATATAATTAGCATGCTAAAGCCAGCAGATGGTCGAAAATGCGGGCAAAGGAATAAGACCTTCGACGGTTGGTTTGCCCAGCATCTGGAAGACTAATCAATAAGTAGGGTAAACGCAGTTAATGGCGAATGCGAGCCTGGGTACTAGTAGGACGACTTCCCCGGCAGTGAATCAAACCTCATACCCGCTCTGCACCGAAATCCACGAGGAAAACAATGGTCCCACTTTGCAGATTTTGAACCACTTCCCCAAAGTTACTCTTCACCACTTTTCCATTAACTCGTCACTTTCGTCTAACGACGAGCGGTCGTCTAGTTCATGGAGATACCTTTGTTGGGTTTCTATAAGCACTATGGACGAAGACGAATCATGGAGAATGGTCGAGACCCTCCCATCCGCCTTCCTTGACCTTTCATTGAGTCAAACCAGCAGCAAGGGGCTCATTCTTTATATATCACCAGTTTGGCTCTGCTCAGTAAATAAAAAAAATAAGAAATTTTCAGAACGAAGATTGTCAGCCAGCAGCGTGAAAAAGTACTCATGCTCAATTTTTTGTGCTCCAGGGAAGATTGGAATCATGCGGCAGCATCGTGAAAATTACAAGAAACAGATTATACAACATAACAAACCAAATGTAAAAAGCTTCAAAATATTTTTATAAGTATGAAAAAACAAATGAAAGGCAAAAAGTAAACATACAAGAAGAAGCAAGCATTTCTTCTATTGCTAGCGTTCAACGGAGATGAAAAAAGATAGAAAAAAAAAGAGAGATAGAGGTAAGAGAGATTCAGAGATAAAAAAAGGAGGATCGGTGGGGCTAGCGGTCGTTTTTCACGTCTTCCGAAAGTTCATCCCTGCCTAGGCAATACACCAGCTATCCTTTGGGCTCATATTAACTGCTTATATGTACCATCCAGTACAAAAAACTCGGCTGGCATCATTCCAAAAAAGCAATTGTAGGGGAAAAAGCAGTTCATCGTGTGGTTTTGTGGGGTTCGTGACTCCAAAGTCCTGAGCCAAATCGGCAGCTTGAGCAGATTGCTGCACTCCAGGCACTGACTTCAAATTGTAGACTGTATATTTTAGATCAATTTTCAAAATCGGCCCCCATATTAGGCCAAGATTTGGTACCTAGTCCTTGCAGATCGAGCACCCCGTTTATTGGCGCCACAAAGGCCTTTGATTGGTAGGGCCTGAACTTTCGGTCAAAGACACTGACGGCGGTTTCTTTGCTATAAATGAGCTCCGTTCCCACTTGAACTTTTCTCTCTGCCTACTTTCCTCTTTTGCACACCTACTACGATCACTGCTCCTTTACCTGAGGACTTTTTCATCCGGGATTTCTCCACCGTATCGTTCAGGGAGGCAGTCGCAATCGGCCAACTCCAGAATCTCTTGCCGCCATTCCTTGCCGGTGATTGCTACTCGATTCCTCGCATTTTCCGGTACAAAGGGGGAAATTGCGCTCCTGAAAAAAGAGGCATCATCGACTTCAAAAACGCGGCCATTCGAAATGAACGGGTCCTTATTTTTTTTTTTTCTGAGAAGTAATCACAACGGCTGCCCAGAGCCGGTGCTGGTATTGATGACGTCATGTCGGACTTCATTGGTGACTAGACCGTCCCAGTGCTTCTGAGGTTGATGTCTCGTGGCGACAGTCTTTCCGCACCTTCCAGCAATGACCGTTCAGCGAAGTCACCAAACGCAGCCCCCCCCTAATATCGCCGCATCACTGCCTCTTCAGGTATTTATTCGAACGTAAATAGAAGAGCTCAGGCTACCTACCAAAGTACATTAATGTAGCTAGGGGTATTAATGACGACAAAACGATTGATGAACTCTCGATAATGTTGGCCTATCAATTGCCACGAGACCCGGAAAGGACCTGGAAATGGAAGATTTGCTTGAAGATCGCCACAGTCCTTAAGCTTTCTAGGGAACCTATTGACATACCACTGATGATTCCTAGAGAAGCAGAGGGATCAAATTTGAGCCCGTCGAGATCAAAACACATAGTATACCGAGCACTGGACGCCCGTGTTCGCTTCCATCTGAAAGATAAACTCGTTTCAACGATTTCACCACGAATCTTTTGAAGGTCAGCGACGTCACTGATTTCACAAGCGATTACTGTATCGCCGTTTGACACCCTTACATACACGTGGCCGTACCTCATTCAAGAGTGCGAGTATCTTTTCGAAGTTGCGGAACAACTGATGCAAATATTCGGTCGGTTGAATCGACTTCATCACTCCACCGATATCGATCCGACCTGAAGTTATTGGCCGCGTTGAAATCGATTATCCAGAACGGATAGAAGAACTGATCGAATTACGAAAATGCATGTCACCATTACCGAATAAGATTACGGGTACTGCCTGGTCCTTAAGCCGTTGAATTTCCGGATTCGCCGGTGATCCCCAGCGCCCAGATTTATGGTCTACTATAGGCTTCAAATAGGCAGGCGGAGGGTCAACTGCCCGTTATGCCGTTTTAGAAAATTCCGGTCCCCCCTCCCCCTCGTTTTTTTCAGTAATCTTAGTAATGATTTTGCGTATGTTGAAATGAGGTCTTCTATGACTCCCACCCCTAACCACCTCCGTAATAACTTCGTAGGAGGAAAATATAGCTAAAGGAATACAAATTTCACACAATAGTCGTTAATTACTCGATTACTTCCTCACGTTTCCGCTAAATCGTTTTGAAGGCACGTAAAAACGGAAACTCCTCATCCCTCCACATGCCCACCCACCCTACTGAAACTCGCAGTTAGGACTCCACAATGTGGGGCTGCGCATCCGAAAATCTAACACACCAACCTCCCGCGTTTGAATTATGGGTACAACGACGGTTTGATCCTGATGGGGAACCTCAAAATCTGAAAAATAGGTCTTATATCCGACAGTCAATGCAGGCTGCATATTTTAGCGCGATACTGCCTACAGTTCTGCCTATTACACAATTTGCAGTCCTCAAGCCTCTGCGTTCTTTCCTTTAAATTTAACAATGGATACCCTTAGATTTGACGCCCATGATTGCTGTCACCCTCAGTAATGGGCCATCCTGGAAAATCCTGATATAATGTGAAGGTCCGCCAGGTAATGAGCTATCCACCACATTCGCAGCTTCGCCAGTAAGTTTATCTAAAGGACAACTCTGACGAGAGGAAGGCACGGGAAAACGACGCGAGCGGCTCTGAATAGGAGGAACGGAGTAACTCTCAATGTATCATCGGGATTGCGTATCAAAACATGATCAAAATAGCCAAATCACGGAGGGGTCAAAGCCCATCATAAATGGTTGGGCCTAGTATAATATGTATTGTTAATGTAAAAGACAATAAAAATAAACGGACGAGTTGTCTCAGTGCGTTCTGTAAAGTCTCACCGCTCTGATCAACGACAATCAGCCGATCTCCGTTCTTCCGGTTTGGTCCGATAATCGAAACTGGGGCGTATTCAGCTGTCACCTGAAAACTTGTATTTGCTCTATTACACTCAGCTGAGTGAGCATTGCCATGGAGACGGAGCTCACGGAGGAAATACTCACCCTGCACAACTCTGAAGACCCCGACCATCCTCGTCCAGATGTCGTTCGCGTCTCCATTTCAGATGTTTTCGAAGGTTGTGAACTGATTTCTGGACATTAAAATCGCAAGACTGCAACCACCGAAGGATGTTGAAGTGAGTATCATAGCGGGGATGGAGGATATCGGCCACTTGCGAGCGCACCTGAAATAATTGGCCTTACGGAGAACGAACCAGGGAGAGGAGCTAAAGCACCTCCTGGACGACATTTGCATGGAGTTCGACTGCTTTTCAGTTTGGCCATCTGAAAGTTTACATCTGAAGGCATGTCATGTGAAAAAGAACACGCAGATTTTCGAGACGACGGATTTTTGAATAGTTAATGATTTCTAGGATCTTTAAGGATTCAAAAAATGCGTGCAAATGGAAGGCATTCCGAGGAATATGATGAGAATCTGGAACGGGCCTCCTCGTTTTCAAAGAAGAGCCTGTTAAGAATTCTATGAAGTTCATTTAATGGTGAAGCACATACTTAAGGGCACAGTTCCATGTATAAAAAGTAAAATATGGAATCGATGCCCCTCCCCGCTCTCTGACCCTTTTGTTAGCTCTTTACTGATCGCCTAAAAGCCTGCCGCTCTCTGACCCTTTTGCTATCTCTTCACAATAATTGCCTAGTAGTCCTAGAAGATAAATCTGGAGACAATAAGTGCTCCCCTTTCTAAACGCCCTCCACGCTTTTGGCAAACCAACAAGATGGACGAGTTTGAAATAGCTGTTTTTAACACACTGAAGAGCCCTGTTGACGTTGCAGTTTCATGCATTGTATGGAAGCGAGTTAGGAATGAGAAGCAGTTATAAAAGCTGAGCGCATTTCTAAGCGTCAGCTGACAACCTTGTTTATCAGGAGGCTTCAGATTACCTACATATATTCCTCAGCTCTTTTCTAGAAAGGATAAACTGCTTTTTTGTGAGAGAAAACCCTCTGTCAAATACGCCACGTTCGGGTGTAGCTAAGAGCGCAGATCTTAGGGACAGGTACCAAAACATTTAAGGCATTGATAGAGGTATCATTCTTATTGCTATATAGATTTTCTTTTTTATCGCCTAACAATACTTGTTCACTGATTCTAAGTTTCCTCCGGAGCAAAAAATGTAACTCTGATCGTGGTACGACCTACTGAACAACAATGCCGTTTCCTCCCCCCCACCCCCCTCCCACTCCTTCAACTACATGCCGTTTTAGTGAATCCGGTATTTTTGCACATTTTGAGCCTTCAGAAGAAAATTGAGAAATGACGTGCCGGAAAATCGCTTAACAAACTTGCGTCACTGTGGCGTTCTACTGGCCGCAGTGAGGATAACTGTCGGGTTCAAGTCTGCAAGACCAATTTCCGAGGTTAAAGGAAGCTCATGAATTAGCTTTGGGGCGCAGTACCACTTTCATTTATACTTTTCGCCAAACTGGATAATTCTGGGATCTGAAAACCATCGGAGGAAAAAATTGAATACGAATCAATCGAAATCACCATAAGTCTTGCAAAACAAGAGGAACGAACTTGCCCAACTGATATATAGTTCGTTTCCCGATTCTCCCGCTTCCCGAATCTACAAATCACATATCTCAGCACACGCTCTTTCCGGATTCTCCCACCAGCTAAGACGCAGTGAATAGATTAAACTATGGGATACATGAGCTTGCCTTGGGAATGTTTACTGCCCGGCCGATTCCCCCGCGGTGAACATAGTAAACAAAAATATGGTAGGCACAAGAGAATAAGCGACAAACAATACAGTGTAAGAAGGACTAACTCATGACCAGTTTTATCTGATCTGAAAAATCTGATAAAGGAAGTTTCTTTTATCAGATTTTTCCGTAAAACAACGCGAAACACTAGAAGGCGTTCAAATAAAGTCCCATAACATCATAAAGTGTTACATAAGGATAAATAAAAGGATAAAGCTGTTGATCAATCCCTTTTTGGGATGCGGCACGCATTCTACTTCCATTTGTACATTCGTAGTGGCGTTTGAATGCGATGTGGCCTATACAATGACTTGCGGGGGCCAGCCGATGTACAAGTCAGTGTTTTTATCCTCCCAGACAAGTCTGGTACCAATTAACCGACCCCGGAGGGATGGAAGGCTTGGTTGGCCCGGGCGACTCACGACCCAGGATTTGATCCCCGGACCGCTCGCGTGGTAAGCGCGCCACTTGCCACTACACCACTTCCGCCCCCTAAAGTGTTGCCATAGAATTGAGATAATTGTTGCGTTCAACATATTGATGACAGCCGTGTTCGGTTGCTATTCGCGCAACTTTTTCTCTGATATTTTTTTCCCAAACCAGCACTACACTTTCAGTAAATTCCTGCGCGGGGTCAATTAGGATAATTGTCTCTAGATCGCTATATGTGAACGGGGCAACTCCCTCACATAAAAAATGTCGATAAATCAACAAATAGTAGTGATCAATGGTAGCGGAAATCTGACGAAGCATTCGTTGCATATTTTGTCAAAAGAGCAGCCTACACGCCCATTGAGAGGGGGTGGAGGTTGGGGGGGGGGAGTCGAATCTCGTCCATATCGTCCAAACCTTTCATCTCTCTCTATTTGATTAGTTGATTTTCCAATGCAAATGAAAAACCAAAACAAGAAGCGCTGGTGTTATATTGACAATCGGCGCAATACATTGTTTTGCTTTTTATTCAGACAATTTACGGCCATCGGTGCGGCGCATCCTAGTGCTTCTGCTCGAACCAAACCCTATTGTTTCGACCCTCTGTTCCCCTAATGTACACTCTAGACCTTCAATGATATCGAAACTACACCTCTCATTAAGCTCGGAAAGGAAAAGGTGTCGTCCCTGGGGTATTCAGAAACGGTGAAATGAAAGACGGGTAAAGGCCGAGGGATCCTAATGTCATAGAAGTGAATAAATTCATAAAATTTGTTGATTCAGAGGCAAAAGTTGAAAGAAATCTGCAAAAATAACCGGTTTATTACCAGAAGAGGAAAAAGTGAGCTTCTATGAAGGATAAAGGCGCCAAACAACGGCAGATCAGCAAAGGGCAAGAGCGACAGTACCAACGACAAACTGGTAATTGACTCCAAGCGACAGCGTTTACTATAACGTATACCCAAACACGAAGGTGTCGAAACTTCGTCAGGGTTGAATGATAGCAGCAAGGCTGACGGGGGGAGCTGGAGGTCTCCGCCCACTCTGCTGCGCGCCGAGGCCGAGTCGTTGAAGTCACACACACACGAGGGAGACAACAACGCAGCGATCTCTGAACGGCAAAATCACGTATGCTTCCCATTAAGTAAATACGGTCGCGGATGTTTGATATTCAGCTGGATGATTTTTGATATACAAGCGGAGCCTGTAGAAGAAGTAGCAAATAAAGGAGGTCCTCCCAAGATTAAATTGCACGTCAATCTCCTATTCCCCGCACGATACTGGTGAAGGGTGGACCTTATTGCGGATATGTTCTTAAATTAAAATTAAATTAAATTATACGAAATTAGAATTTTGACTTGTTTTTGTTTGTTAACTGCTGTTTTTGGCCGCAGTTCGCCTTGCGAATGTTTCACAAGAATGCTGGGTTGTGAACAAAACTTTCGCCCCAGGCGGGACTAGAACCCGCACCTCTCGCTTTCCGGGCAAGTGCGCTACCAGTTACGCTACCGGGGCACCATTTCATCCCAACTCAGCTTCTTCATGGTATACGTACCATAGCTACCAGTTACGCTACCGGGGCACCATCATTGTGAATTCTCCATTAGCGAGTCAGTTTCACCTACTGCTTCATAATTTTGCATCACCTGTCGCCCCGTTGTTCACTGATGGTGAGTTTCTCGACCGGGCGTCAGTAACGTCTCCATATGCTCCTGTCACGTGCTGCTTCGATGAATCTTCCCCGCTCGAGGAACACAAAGCTCATCATTTCTTCAATCCAGAACATTCCTGAAGACCATCAGACTGGCGCCCGTTTGTTTGTCATCCCGAGGGAGGCAGTCAGTAACTGTTGTGGTCCAGTCGTCATCAAAGAATCGCATTATGTGTCTGCCCAAGCTGATCTCGATTTTTTTCGCGAATGTTTCATATTTCTTCCCGATTACTCCTTTCACTGTAGCGGAATGTTCCAGAGCAGCAGTGCACGTTTGGAGACTTTGGTGACCTCACTGAGGGTGATTGGTGGAAGGATGCTGGGAAGAGGTCCCAAGCACATCGCCCAGCGCACTGATGGGACCGGCTAGCCAATTACGTCATCTACGTCACTCCACCCTCCTGCTAGCGTGTTCACTGCTCTAAAAAGGATCTTTATAATTAGGTTGGGAAAGCTTGAAGAGAAGAACATATGAATGAAATTCAAATATGAAAGCAGGCCGACGCCACACAAAATGAAAGTTGCTTATGGATACGAGGAAAATTTTGGTGCAATATGGTGAATGGGGCAAAACACTGATGGTGACAAATCGTTATTTTGGAGCCTCCGACCTCTATCAGAAAAGTCGATGTGAATGCCCTATAAAGCTGCTGCAAGGGATTGATCGAGTACAAAGAAGTCTTTGTGAGCTCTCGTAGAAGCCTAATACAGTGCCCAAGACAGATGAAAGCTCGAGGTTCTTGACGGGATCCAAGCACTGACTGGCTATGAGAGTGCAAGTGGCGCCTAATAACCATACGAGGTAAGCAAACCAGCCCTTTTGGCGTTTCGGCTGGGACCGTATGCTGAATGTTGGGGAGGGGATGGGTCCCCAACGGTCGACGGTTTACTTCAACTCGGTTGGTACGATAGAGAGAGTACTGACGCAAGTGGTGCAGCTGGTCCAGCAGCTCCGCCAGAAGGGCTGGTTTGCTCACCCCAGGACTAAGCCTTGGAGAGGGACGGACCCGTCCTCTCTTTAAGGCTTAGTTCTGAGGTAAGCACCAAATTGTGGCGGTTCTAAGGACCGAGTTGAAGTGGTCCGTCCACCGTCGGGGACTCCATCCCCTCCCCAACATTCAGCATACGGTCCCAGCCGAAGCGCCAAAAGGGCTGGTTTGCTTACGTCTCACCTACCTCACTCCACATGC